GGTTAACATGCTCAACTCTCAACCTAAAGGTTGGTGATTCGAATCCACTCAGGTTCCTTGTCCTCTTTAATCTTGTTGTTGCTGAGAATATACACAGCAAGACACACATCACTTCATCCATTTCTGCATGTACAGTTCAGGGACCTTGATTAAGTCCTTCAAGTTTTGCAGTGATTCTCACCCTCTTTTATCCTTTCTTTTTTAAACAAAAGAAAATATAGTAAAAAGATGGGTTTGGTGGATAGTGTGTCTTGAAACAACACATAAAGAAATTTTGAGATTCCTAGCACTGTCCTCCTCTTCTCGTACATTTCTAAGGAAACTCTATTCATAATGGAAAGTGCATTGAAGTAACAGGAATATCTTGCCTAGTTTGAATCATTCTAGACACCTAGGCCTGCCCTCAAAAAGGAATGTCGTTTAGGACTGAGAAGGGAAAAATGCATAAGACAGGTGGGTATGGGAAGAAGGATTTTCACTCCTTCTGAGATTTATCCTTTGAGCAAGTGTTTCCCTTGAAGTGGAGGCACTATTGGCATTTTAGAGACACTGTTCTTTGTTGTGTGGGACTCCCCTGTGCATTGTAGGATGTTTGGCATCCTTGACTCCATTCACTAAATATAGTTGAGAATTCCTAATAATGTCCTTTGAATTGTGGTGTCAGTGAAGAGTACTTAATACCCACAGAATGGCAGAAGAACAAATATATCTGTCGTTACTGTTGTTGTTGTTGTTAAGTGCCGTTGAGTCGTAGATGACTCATAGCGACTCTATGAATGAAAGACCTGAACACTTGTATAACTTTCATCATTTCTCCAAGTTCATAGAGTTTCCAGAGGCAAGTATTTCAGAAGTGGATGCCGCTCCTGCTTCCAAGCTTGTTTAAATCTGGGAGCTCCACCAAACACTGTCCACCATGGGTAACCGTTATCGTATTTGACACATCAGAGTCACAGTGTTCAGCATCACAGCAGACACAAGTTACCTCTGTACAGAAAATGGACAGACCAGTGGTGAAACTAGTTTACTCCTTAGAGGTAAGAATGATGAAACTTCCTGCACACCTATGTTTATTGCAACTTTGTTCACAATAGCAAAGAGCTGGAAACAACTCAGGTACCCATCAACAAACAGATGAATAGAGAAGCTCTTGAATATTCACACAATGGAATACTATGCTGCATTGAAAAACAAGGAACTTATGAAATATTATACAAAATGGGTGACCCTGGAGGACATTAGGCTGAGTGAAATATCTCAGTCACTAAAGGACAAATACTGTTTGTTGTAAAGCAGGACTGACATTGGGGTTGGGAGAAAACTAAGAGGGGATAAATAATGTATACTGCATTGAAACAGATGAGGGAGTTAATTGTTTAGGAGGAATATGATTGGGTATTATTGTCATGACACGAGTCCAGAATGAAAGCTGCATAATGGAGTGGACTGGGGAGGCGGGAGGGTGGGGTTATATAACAACGAATGAATTTTTTTTTTAACTCTTCAAAGAGAAAAGCAAACTGAGGGTATGGGCAGAGAGGAAAGTATGCAACAGTGAATGAATGGAAATCCAAAGTCTCTCTAAACTTTCATTAAATTAAAAAAAAAATTTAAAAGAAGAAAAGGTAATCTAATCCAAGAACAAACAAACAAAAAAAGAATAATGAAACTTCATCTCACACGTTTTGAGCATGTTGTCAGGAGGGGCCAGTCTTCGGGGAAAGATATCATGCTGGAAAAGGTGGAGGGTCAGAGAAAGAGCGGAAGGCCTTCAACAAGATGGCTTGACAGCGACTGTAACAGTGGGCTCAGGCATGGCGAAGGTCCTGAGGACGGCGCAGCCGTCAGACAAGGCTCAGGGCTGCTGGTGATAGCGTTGCTGTGGGTTGTCATCAACTAATTGAACAACAACAGTAACAATCACTAGCACGAAATGTCCCCAGATCCTCCTCAGACTGAATGTTAGTTACTGTCCTTGGTGGAAAGCTTTACAAGCACCAGATATTTCAGCAGAAAGAAGAATACGGGATCTGATCATAGCCGGGAGGCTGCCCTGCTGAGCAGTAACTGTGAGGTTACCAAAGATCCAGCAAGCTCTTCATATGTGGGTGTATCAAGAAAGGAGACGGCATTAGCTTCCCTTACGGTCAAAGAAACTGTGATCTCCAAAAGGCTACAACAGCCTTCTGATTGGAGAGCAATCTGTCGTTGGTCAGAAAGCAATTTTAAAAGGGCAGCAAAGACTGAAATAGTTTGAAGACAGTGTTCAAATGAACTGACGCAATAGCTGACTCAACCTGTATTGTGATCGATCTTCTGAAAGGGGGGGAGGTGGTTCTTTGACGATGAGCTGTGGTCGGCTTGACATTTGCATGCAGAACAGAGGAGACAGGCTTGTTGTTTACAGTTTTGTTCATGAACGTGACATTTCAAATATTAAAACTCAGATGAAGATTTGGTATCCTGCTTATGAAAGTGTCCTTCCTACAGACACTTGTGATTTGCTACATAGAGTGGCCTACGTGACTCTTGGATGGCCAGTTTCAGGAGTGCTTCATCTTTTCCATGTTTCTGCTGGTCTGTCTCTCTGTCTTCTCACCTCTCCCACTGACATTTCTCAGCAGCTCACCCCACCCCCTCCAATCCAAGTGATATCAGTCAGTGATGGGAGATGGGATCATTGAGGGGAACTTGGGCAGAACGGGGCAGAGGTTATGGCTATGGCAAGGTCAAAGGAAGTCCCTTTTCCTTTTATGTTTTCTGGTTGAGGGGCATGGGACATACTTCTGTGCTTGCTGAAGTTCAGTATAGTGGAAATCCTGTCCCTGCTACTGAATTCTATAAACTTGATATCCCTGTTAGTGGTGAGGGGTGTGTCTTAGCCTCTTGGGATGGAAGCTTTGAGTCATGGTTGCATGGGATCTCCCACTTAATTAGCCTGATAATGTCCTTTGTTGTCGTTGTGTACCGTCAAGTCAGAACCAACCCATAGCTGACCCTCTGGTGGGTTTTCAGAGGTAGTTAATATCATGGGAGGAGATTGCCCATCCTTCTCCTGTGTAGCAGCTGATGGCTTCAGACCACATGCCTTGAGGATTGCAGTGCAACATCTTGTGCTGTTACTCTACCTTCCAATTGACTGCATGGTGTCTAAGGTCTTAAAAGTTTGCCGATAACCATTTAAGGCATAATATAAATTATTCACTATTATTCATCTGAAACAACAGAGAAAGGAGAGTCAGGAACAGGCAGAGGATATGGGATGTATAGCTAATTGCCTCCATGACCAGCAGCCTCTTTTTGCCATGAGACCAGAAGAACTGGATAGTACCCAGATACTATTGGTCAGTGTTTGTACCATCTCACAGAAACTCCATAGAAGAATCCTAATCAAAAGATGCGAAATGTGCAAAAGAATTTAAAATTCTCATGGATTTCAAACTGGAGCCATGGCAACTAGTTGAATTCCAAAAATGTTGCCCTGAGATTATCTTTAAACTTTAAACTAAAAATACTCCCTAAAGTTTTCTTTAAAAAATAAAATAATACCTTAGCTAACAAGTCTGTCCTGGAGAGGGTGAAGCCAAATTGTTCCTCGGAGACGTGGATTTTGAGACTTTGTCTCACATACTTTGGGCATGTTGCCAGGAGGGACCAGTCCTTAGAGAAGGACATCATGCTTGAAAGGATGGAGGAATAGTGCAGGAGAAGAAGACTTCAGATAAAATAGATTAACAAAGTAACTGGGTAAGACAATGAGCTTGGCCCAGGGAAAGCAGGGGGCTCAGAGTTATTGTGCATAGGGTTGCTATGAGTTGTGGTCAACTGGACGGCACATAACAACAATAATAACTACTAAAAAATATCAGCCAATGAATATTATGCCCTTCTGAGAACTGTCTACAAATTGGTACAGCAGTTTGCAAGATTAGGAGACAGCAACTTTATGTTGATAAAGGAGAAACAATTCAGGAAAAGAGGGTGAATGCAGTGAAATTTACACATAGAAGCTGTTGAATGGATGTTTTTCTGTGTATATTCTCAGCAACAACAAAATAAATAAACCTTATTAGAAAGAAAAAGAAAATACCTTGCTGAATTAAATAAATCTATTGCAAAAGGATTCTGAGGTTCCGTCTAACTTACTTTGGACATGTTGTAAGGAGAGACCAGTCCTTGGAGAAGGACATCATTCTTGGGAGGGTGGAGGGACAGCGCAGGAGGGGAAGGCCCTCTATGAGGTGGATTGATTCGGTGACTGGGGTAATTGGGATAGGTGTGTCAGAGGCAGTGCAATTGGCACAGGACAGAGCAGAGTTTAGTGCTGTTGTATATAAGGTCGCCATGAGTCGCAAGCGACTCGACAGCACATAACAACGACATTGCAAAAGGACAAATACCGAATGGTTTCATGTGAAATAAGGAAATTTCTAGGAGCCAAAGGGGAGCTCTGGTGGCCTAGTGGATAAGGAGTTGCACTGGCAACCCAAAGGCAGGAGGTTCAAATCCACCAGCTGCACCATGGGAGAAAGATGGGTAGTATCCTCCTGTACTATTGCCAACCTCTGAAAACCTATAGGAAGGTCAGCTATGAGTCTGTTCCAACTCAACAGCCCATAAGAACAACATAGAAATGAAATGTCAGTGATGAGAGGAAGAGAAAAGAGAGGTAGTTTTAGTTTAGGGAGTATTGAGTTGAATGTGGTCAATATCACTGATTTTTACATGTGGGTGGTATTTGTATGTTTTCTTTTGTGGATTTTCATCACAATAATGTGTTATTACCCCTCAGGCATGTAGGTAAGATGCTCTTTTCATTGAGCAAGCAAGTGGCAAGAGCCCAGGATGGTGGGACGCATTATGAAGCCAGTTGACAGTGCAGTTCAGGCCCTAATGGAGTGGGGCCCGGGAGCAGTAAGTGAAAATTGGTGCAAAGTCCCTGGCATCTCTCCTTGGCTTCCTTGTGATGTTTGAGGTTGAAATGTGTTTTTGTCTTGCAGATACCAGTAACCTAAATGCTACACAAAATGATGTCTGGGCCTCTGAGAACTTCTGGCTTGACCCTTCGGGGAGAAGCCAACCAGCAACCCCGGAGGAGGACAGTGAACTTCGGAAATCCCTGGATAGATTCTATGAAGTGTTTGGCCGGCCACAGCCAGCGTCTCGAGACCCTTTCTCTGCATCCGTCCTCCAGTGCCTGTCTCGGAAAGTGGCTGAACTGAAGGAGCAGGAGAACCAGGAGTACGCGCTCCGCAGTTTTCAGATGGCCCAGGTCATCTTCAACCGGGATGGCTGTTCCATCTTACAGAAGCATTCCAGGGCCAGCTCCTTCTACCCCCTGGAGAAAGGAAGTGTGTCTCTGGATGAGGAACAGCCAATCCCGGGACTCTCCAAAGATGTCCTTCATTTCCTCTTACAGCAGAATGTGATGCAAGACCCCTGACCTGGGGCTCTCAGATTCCTGGTGGTGAGAGCAGCCAGCCACATTAGAGGGGCAGCTGCTATCAGATCCCCTGGGCACTTTCTTTAGCTCCTTGTGCAAGTGCCACAGCTTCGAAGTGCCTTGCTGGTCAAGGTTGGCACTTTGTCTCCCTACCTCCCACCTGTCCTCCACCCCCGTGGCCTGAGGCTGTTGACTGACAGGTTTGAAAGTCCAAATGCATTGCTTGCTTGCCTTCAGAAGGACATCCGCTGATGAATATTTTACTCTCCAGAGATTTCCTCAGAATCAGGCTGGGGCTTCATCTGAAGTAATGACCCTTGGCCCACTACTTCCCCCCTCACCTTTCTCCCACACTCTCACTGGTATCCCCTGGGAGCCCTTCCTTCCTAGATCTCATGGACCTCAGTTCTTGACCTGGAGTCTCCTTCTGACCTAAGACAACAGGCTTCCATCCGATAATTTTTCTTTTGAAGCTTGTAAATCTCTGCGCAGAGTCCAATATGAAGGATGATACCAAGTAAAACTAAAGCCATGTGGCTGAGAGCGTGTGTCCCCAAGTAATAGAAAGATCTAAATATGGTTCCAAAAAGAATGTCACATCTGAATCATACCCTTGCCTCCCCGCAGAAGCTGGAATTCTCTGTTTTATAATAATGACTCGATGTGGAAGGAACATTTGGACAGCTAAAATAACAGCTCAAAATTTACAAATTGGAGAACGAAGTCTCTTTTTGTTTTCATCAGATTGCAAATGTGAAAGGTGAGAAGGAAACAAACGTGTGCCACCCCCACGCCCCCAGGAGTGTGTAAGCAGAGTCAGGCTGACGTGATTCCGCCATCTTGATTTTTGGTTCAAAATAAAAAAGCCGTTTGTTCAAATGATGTTGTTTCCTCATTCGGTTCGCCCCTGCCTGCCTGCTGCCAGCACCCCCTGTCACGCTAATGGTTGGCCCCTTGCCCTGTCCCATCCTTACTTCTGACACCCTGAGCTCCATCTGCAAATGCAGCCCAGGCAGGTGCTCCCTGCTTCCCTGCCCTGCCCTCCAGGCCTCAGCCCTGCATCACCACTGAGCTGCTTTAAATAGCCGTTCAGGTTTGCACTGACAGATGCTCTGCTCTGCAGGTCGTGTCCTGAACCCATTTGAGCCTCAGTTGGTGGAATTACGTCACCTGGCACTAAGCTCTCCAGAACTGTAATTGGAAGCTTTAGGCTAATCCCTGCCTTGACACTTACTCGGGAAAGACTATGTCTTTCCTAATATGAGGGGAGAGCAAAAGAAGCAGCTGGCAAAACCACACAATTGTATGGTTGGAATTTAATTGGCATAAGATCACAAGAACTTTCCAGAAAGTTGATTATGCAAAATGGGTCAACCTAAAAATGTACATTAATGTAGAGTGTGCAGTCTCAGCCTAGTCCCTCAAGGACCCTCGGGAATAGTCTTTCAAGTCTGAAATGACATATATAAGGCTCCCAATTCTGAGGAAATTGGAGATAAGGATCCATGTTCCAAACTGAAGTGCATGCATTGCTGGAAGGAGGTTTGAAGAAGAGGAAATCGGATGTGAGAGAAAACTTGAGAAGATAAGACCCCAGACGTTCCTCCTGGCAGACAGCTGCCTGCTCTTTCTCCAGGGCTTTCTTCTGTTAAACTGACCCCCAAATGATTGAAACCAGTGAGATTTAGATCAAAACTCTACAGGTCAAATTTCAAGTTCTCGCCTTTCCTTCTTTTCCAATAGGAAGCCAGCTAATAGATGCCCTGAAAGAAGGCTATCATCTTTAGTATTCATTCAGTCCTGGAAAGGCTGGAGATTAGTTTCTATGACAACCTGGGGCAGAAACTGGATTATTTGATACTGATTACCAAGGGCAAATGATACAGCTATTTGAACCCCTATGCAGGGAAGTAGCATCTGTTTCCTGGTGAGATTTTATGATTGGAACTCCTGAAGCCTTCATTTCTGTTAGTGCTGAAGGTGCTTAGCAAGTGGTAGACGGAGCTTTTAGGAAAAAACAACAGCAACAGAGCTTTTAGGGAAAGCCAGAACCACCCTAGGGTAAGAGGAGTGTGGCCTGTGTTTGCTTGTTTCTAAATAAGTGTTTGTGACAGGCCAGGACCACATATTTGATTCCGTGTAATCTTGCCCCTTAATTCAATCTTCTTGAGTTTAGGGTGGCATTTTCCATCTGTCTCTCGGGACCTTTAATCAACAGCAAGAGATAAGAATATTGAGGCTCTGGCCATGGCATTATTGCCTAAATCTTCCCTACAGATATGTTTTCCAGCATCTTACCACACTAATGAACATTGATAATATCTGTGGCTCTTTCCAGATCTGCCAGACTGTGTGTGAGGCTGGATGAATACAGAAACATCAGAACTCGAAAGACCTGCTACCAGGATTTTCCACTGTGCAACTGCTATTCATTTCATTAGTTATTTTCTTTGGAGAGCATATGTCGAGGCACATAAAATATATCTCATTGCTAGTCAGTAATAGAAAAGATTGAAGCAAATATTGGTTAAACTTCTTAAAATATAATCACTCAGCAAAGCATTAGTCTTATTAATATTACAATCCATACACTTTTTTTTTATAATCACTAGGTATTTTAAGTGGATATCTCAGTTTTCACCATCAGGACAGGACCCCTCTTCACATGGAGCACCCATCTTTTCAGGCACCCTCCCTTGCTTGACTTTACAGTCTCCCTTCCTTTCCTTCTGAATCTCAACCTCTACTCTTACCCTGAAGCACAAACTTAAACCCTGGTCAATCCAAGTGAAAAAAAAAGATCATCATTTTTGTTGACCAGAACTTGAGCCAAGCGTCAGTAGTTTCATAGGACTTGACTTCATATGTGGCATTCTTTTGAAGTGATCTCAGAATTTCAGTGATACTCATATGCCATTTTTTAATTCTTTGCTACATTCCTGTCCTGTAGGTCTCATTTCCCATGGGCCATTCTGGCGTCCTTGTCACCTTACAAAATATGTATTTCTCAAAGATTCATTCTTACAGGCCTTCATTCTCAGTTGGCCTCCCTAATCCATCATGGCATTCATTATTCCTGGATGACTCAGAAGGTTTGTCTTCAGCTGCTAACCAAAAGATTGGCTTGAGCCCTACAGGAAAAAAGGCCTGGCAATCTGTCTCCATAAAGATATGTTCTATAGAGAAAAGTTTAGGGAGCTCAATTAAATTTGATAACACATGGGTCACCATGAGTTGAGATTGCTCCTAAGGAAACAGTCATTTTGGTTTTGAGTTGCATCCACCGTGGCATTGACATTTTAAAGCCACTCACTGGCAGAAGTGTGGACCCATTGTGACTTTTGATTCTAAACATTTTCCTGTAGCATGAAGTGAAAACTAAGAGCCAAATCCCTGGGGGCAAGCAAGCTGGGGGTGACTCCTGACTACAGAGTCCTTGGCTGTGTTACTAACTCTACTGTGCCCCTGTTTCCTCATCAGCAGAATGGGGATACTACCTCATTCAGGGAGCTAAAATGAGTTCAGAAATTTAAGAATTGCTGCTGGCACATCTTGTTAGGACGCTCTGATGGCCTAATGGTAAGAAGTTGCTCTGCAATCCTGAAGACACACAGTTCAGATCCAGTAGCTGCTCTGTGGAAGAAAGATGGGCAGTCTCCTCCTGTGCAATTTACAGCCTCTGAAAGCCCGGTAGAGATGTCGGTTCTGAGTCAGTTCTAACTCAACGGCAAACAACAACACAGCATCTTGTTTGTTAAATTATCTATCTTAGACAAGCTCTCTCCTCTTGCTTTTTCTTCTCTTTGCCCTTTCATCACATTCCTGAGTTTTCATCTCCTTCCATTCCTTCTACTGCAGATCCTGTTTCTTCAGGCTTCTTCACAAACTGCCATTAATCATCTTAAACCACCACTTGGATCCCATCCCATCCCCCGTAGCGACCTCCCTGGCTTTTTAATGCCAGAAGGACAAAGTACAAACCCAAGTGCCTGCTGATCTACTGTAGAAGTTCTGCCTTCTCTTCATCTCTTGGACTTTATGTGCAGGCTGCATGGCTCCGAGAACACATTCTGTCCTGTCCCCAGCCCCAGGATGTCTCCCAAATCACTCATTTACATACTCCTCACCTGTATGCCTCTTCTGTCTACAAACAGACCAGAACACATTCTGTCCTGTCCCCAGCCCCAATGTGACTCCCAGATCACTCCTTTATGTACACCTCACCTGTATGCCTCTTCCATCTACAAACAGACCAGAAGTTGCTAGAAGCCAGAGAACTCATTTTACCCAGGCTGGCTTGAATCAAAGAAGTGTTGGTGTCACACAAAGTGCTTAAATCTCTTGACTTCCAATCAGAACGCCCTTGGTTAAAATTCTCCAGCTGCTCTTTGGTAGAAAAATACGTCAGTCTGCTTTTATAAAGATTTATAGCCTCTGAGACTCTGGCTCAGTTCTCTGTTTGATAGGGTTCTGTGTTGGAAACAATGACAGTGGGTGTGGGTTTGGCTTAGACTCATGATGGGTAAATATTCATCACGGCATGAACTGGTTCTGTATCCTCAACTCCTGTTGCAGCCAGCTCGACAATTTCTTCTCTTTGCTATAACTGAAACCATAATGTTTAGGGCCCTATAACAGAAGAAAGTGGGGTGCATCTGTCTGGACCTCCTGAGAGACATCATAGAAGGGGAAAGAGTTCATTTGCAAGCATTAGAGGAACAGTGCTGCCATAAACAAGTGGAATGTTCTGGGTGTCTCAGATAACTCCTCCGGACCTCATTTCCTCATCTGTAAAATGAGGACATTAGCAAAGCTTCATGTTTCCCCTTAGGCTGAAAAATCCTGTGATAGATTTCCGAGAGGGCAGATTCCGGAAACGGACGTTCAAATTTATTGTGGCGTCACTGTGTAAGCATTATACTGCTGTTCAGAACAATTAATTTCCTGTGTTTAGCCTATCAACCCACGTTTATTAAGCAGCATTTACTCTGCGTGTGGTA